TCTGAGAGTGCCACACTATTTCATTTAATTGCAGATGTGAAGTGCACACAAAGAGGAGCTGAAGGAAACATCTGCAATATCCCATCATGAAACAACTGCCAGAAAGACAGAATCTGCAATTCTACAAAGCAGGATAAGGTGTCTGATACGAGGACTTGCTCAGCTCCCAGGTCAGCTGTATTCCGACACCACTGGCACAGCATCCAAGTTGCTTCAAGATAAGCAAAGAAGTCTTTGTCAGTTTTTAAGAAATGGTGTCTCATATAATCAAATTGATTTACTTAGCTCCTCTGAGACCCTGCACAAAGTACACAAACACTGAGCTCTGTCAAATTTAAAATCTGAGCTACAATCACTGTACAGGCTTTGTTCCTCAGCACTAACTCCAGTTTGCTTCCTGAGCTCAGTTACATCTATGACATCTAATTGTGTTCAGGGAAGGACACAGCTCCACTTAGGCCTTGGGCTGACACCAAGAGGGGAAAAAATTAATATTTCTACATACAAGCCTTTGAAATTAGCTAAAAGTTCACCATGAAATAGGCAAACAGAAAAATCTTATGTGATATTATAATCACTTTTAACCTTATAATTGCTGCTTAAGAGTAAAGATTTAAAGAAACTTAAGTTTATACATATTTTTTGACAAATAGTTGCAAAGTAATGCAAAAATAACCACTGATGTAGTTGGAAATATAACAAGAGGATCAGTTTTCCCAAGAGCAGTTTCATAGAATCACAGAATGTTTTGGGTTGGAAGGGACCCCAAAAAGCATTCAGAACCACCCCCTGCCCTGGGCAGGGACACTTCCCACCAGCCCAGGTTGCTCCAAGCCCCATCCAACCTGGCCTGGAACACTTCTAGGGATGGGGCAGCCACAGCTTGTCTGGGCAACCTGCGCCAGTGCCTCAGCACCCCTACAGGGAAGAATTTCTTCCGTATATCTAACCTAAATTTCCCCTTCTTCAGTTGGAACCCATTGGTCCTTGTCCTATCACTACAGTTCCTCATGTAGAGTCCCTCTCTGTCTTCCTTGTAGCCCCTTCAGACACTGGAAGGCTGTTCTTTTCCACCTTCTCTTTTCCAATTTGGTTCTTCACCATTAACATCTTACTCACAACAGCATTAAATGCATTGGCACATTCTTACTTCTGCAAGAACAATGAACCCACACTCAAAGCAAAGAGGTCTCACACAGAACAATTTACGGCCACCTCCTTCCTTATCCTTGTGGTGTGGAGACCCTGTGACCATCACAGAGGAAGAAACTGAGTCACCAGTGTTGCAGAGCTCACACACCTAACTGGTATAAACCTCCCGGAAAATGATTTAACATAACTGGTGGTTAAATCAATTCCATCAGCGAATGAGCCCTTGGCCCCATTCACCTGCACACTAGTTTGTAATTCAGAATGTATTTCAAACTGTATAAATACGATTCTCCCCTGAGTCAGCACCAAATGTGTTTACTGGATTAATAATTTAAAAAAAAAATATTATTACACTGAAGCTCAGCTTTGGGCCATACTTTCAATTCTGCCTGTTCACAGTGGCAGTGGCTGAGCACATCCACCCAACAACGAGTGGGAAAGTAAGACCCCTGCAGGGTCAGCCCTCTGCCAGGCAGCCATCGCCTCTCTCCACAGTGGCAGGATTGCAGGAGCACCTGTCATTTCAAGGCTTCTCTTTGCAAAACTGGCATTACAGCAGCTGATGTTGTGCTGAAGCAGATAAAAAGAGCACATATGACCCAGGTAATTGGTTTCAAATGAGAGCAGGCACTTCCAGCTAAAGAAGCAACTGCATTTTAAACCATTCCAGCTATTTCTGTTCCTCTCATAAAAGCACTGATGGCTCTAGGATGTGCTGCTTGCAGGGGTGTGACTCAAGACTGCAGTCAGATATTCTATTAACAAGTTGAGGTCCTGAGGTCTTATATGATAATAAGGGCACGATAAATTCTTGACACTAAAATTGCTCTCAACTTGTGTTTGAATTCCTGGGAGAAGATAACATCTTAATAAAAAGTTCCAGCTATTCTTGGCACAAGGACAATTCTATATATAGTCATTCTAGCAGAGTATTCTGCATGGCACAGAGGATTTGTGCCAGGAAAAGAGTGAGCTAATTACCCTGAAAGGATCTGATGTACAGATAATGTAGAATCCATGCATACAGAGAAAGAGATTACCTCCAAGGCATGTCTTTTCCTTGTCTCCTACCACTTACTACTGAGGCCAGAACACAGCAGGGTGATATACACTGCAAGGCCATTTGCATACAACATATAAAAAATGTATTTAAATAAATACAAGCCCCTATCTCAGGGCTTGTAAAACACCATAAACCACTTGCAAACCACTTAGGCAGATGTGATTAAAATCTGTCCTTCTGCAAAGGAATGATGCAGCTCCTTCACCAAGGAAGTCCCTAACAAACTGACAGCAGCTTTTGATAGTGGCTGAAGGGACTCATTTAAGCCCCATTTAATGTCTGACACAGATCTTTTAATGAGATCAGACCAGCGATTTTTAATTTGTAGGCAAATCTGACCTGCTGAAGAGGTGCTGAAATCCATCTGCCTTTGAGGTTAAGGCAAGGCAGTTTGGTGGAATGGGTTAAAAGTGGAAGACTGGTGAGGAGAACTGTAAACAAGTGACCTTGCAGCTGGGAGTAACCCTTGATAAACCGGTGTGACCGACAGCTGGTGATCCTCTGGTGTAGGCAGTGCCTGCTGTCTGCTGGTGTACCTGTGCCCAGGTGTTGCCTCAGGGAATCTATCTCCTGGTTAGTGAAGGAATGGCAATGGATTTACTGTCTGTGTTTTAGCCATGGGTTTGTGGTTGTCCCAGCTCCTTCCTAGCTTGTGCTGACAGCCTGAGGATTCTTCTGGACTTGGCAGGCCCTGTCAGGACACAGATGCCCTCAGGCCAAACCGACTCAGGGAGATCATCAGCTTCCACCAGTGCCAAGGCTGAATGGACACTGCCCTACATTAATTCCCAGCCCACAGAAGTGACATGAGACAGGAGGGCAGGCTGCTTCCTGCTCATCTGAAATACTGGGTGCCACCTTTGGTAAATCCACACAAGGCTGGGCTGGGCCAGCCTCAGGCACTGGCTGTGAGCACACGTGGAGGTTTTATCCAACAAATACCAGTGCAGAAGCAAACTTAAACCACAGAATTTGAGAAGGCAGACAGTCTGCAGCAAAACCATATTTTACAGATCAAAGCAGATCAAATGAACCATTTTTTATTCATATCCCTTAGGGGGTGCAGAGAGTTCACAGCCAGAGCACCTGGAGAGAGTTTCATGTGTTGGCAGAATGACAAATTTTCCATTCTGTTGTGTGGCGGTAGGGGCACAGCTCTCACTCACAACTTCTGCATCAGCTCTGGGACCAAGAACTCAAGTTTGCTTTTTGACTAGAGACTTAGCTGCATTCATTTCAGCAAATGTATGCCTGAAATACCTTGTTAGGATTTCGGAAGCAAAATCATTAACTTATAAAGGAAAACTTACTATAGGAATGCTATAAATTATGAGAATAAGATTTATAATTTTTTTCAAAATAAATATCTGCCCTGTTGGATATTGACTGTATGAGTGAAGGCAGCCCAGGTAATGGGTCATCTGGGAGCCAAGAGAATAAAACAATGGTAGTGTCATAGAAGGAATGCCTCCAAATCCCCTCCAATGTGAATTTAGGGAAAACTCTCTGGAGATGCTCCAGAAACCACAGATCGCACTCAGAAAGTCAATAAACACACAGCATATTTCATCCATTATTTCAGTCAGCCACAAACTGGAATGAAGACAGACTCCTACATGATCATCCTGGGTCAATCTGAGCCTGGCGGAAGCAGAAGCTGTGCTGTCGATGCCAAACCTGGTCCATCTACAAACCAGGGAGGTTTCTGCACCATGGGAGCAGCAGAGGAAAGGAACAGAAAAGTCTTTCATACATCCTGCCCATGCATCAATCCAGGAGCACTACTCCACTCCATGGCATCTCTTACCCTTACAGCAGGCGTAGACCAAACCAGACCTGCAAGGCAGACTGGGATGCAGAAGCATTGATGGCTGACCTCACAGGGGAGATTTGCTGGGGTTGTAGGTGGTTGTTCCTGGGATGTACAACTGGAGGAAAGCAACCAGTGCTCATGAGGCTCCAGACCAGATGCAGAGAGGTTGTGTAGTGAAGCCACAGCAAAATCCCAGGTGGACTCCAAGGTACACCTCAGACATCTAGGAACTGTTGTGCAGTCTCCTTTATCTGTTCAATTGAGGCTTCTTCTTTAAGCAGAACCATTCATGGCTGAGCATATCCCACAGCACTGCCTGGGCCGCATGGGCAGTTCTTGCCCTGTTCCTTACTGCCAAATATTGCACCAGATTTCCCAAGTCCCCATTTCAAACCATTCATCGTTACTCCATGTGGCCCCTTTGAAACAACAGCAGGACTTCCACAGAAGAAGCCACATTAAACACACTTGCTTTCCCTGTTATAGGCAGGCTTACAGTGAGATTTCCTAAGTTCGTCAGAGGAATAATTGCTGGTTTGTCCAAAATACATCACTGTGTGCCAGAATGAAGAGTTTGCTGTATAGAACCCTATGATCAGGCCCTCATTGCCTGCTGGGCTATGAGACATTGCCGAAGTAAATACTACTGCTAGCAACTGCCCTGTGATTCACAGCACAGCAAGCACCATCAACCTCAGCTGGATTTTCCTCAGTCTTCCTGAAATGAAGAAGCTCAAAAGCAGTTCTGCAGCAAGGCTCTGTCCCTTGGCAGGGGACTGTTCGCCGTGGTCACGCTGTCATTCAGCAAGGCATGGCTGTCTCCCCCAAGCCCTATCCACCTCTGCTGTTGCAGCTTTTCACACCATTACCATTGTAAAATCACCATTGGTGGCTTTTAGTGTGTTTTCTTTTTCCATGTCCTCTGTGATGAGGCAATATCACATCTCCCACACCAGCTTTTTCTCATTTTCTTCACTGGATGATGCCTGCAAATGTGTTGATAGGCAACAGCAGAGACTTGGGCATGTATTTCACAAGCCCCATATCTTCTGTTTTGTGAAGGCTGAATTTCATTGTCCTTGTCTTTTGCAAGCAGTAGCTGGGCTCTAGGCAAGGTGACACTTCCAGGCTGCAAAAGCACAAGAACATATTTACTGCATGTACAAATTTGCCCTTGAGGGTCAGAGCCTGATCTCATTCCAAACATCAGGTCTCTTCACTGACTGCTGAGGGAGGGCTGTCACCTGAGATGTGCAGCTGCTTTTATGCTTTTTCCTACTGTGTTTGACTAGAAAGATAAGCTGATGTGTGCTTTGACCACAAAACCAGTGTTCTTAGTCTGGCTCAGTTTGATTCCCAGGAATTCCGAGTTTATGTATGTTCCACACAGCCCATAGACCTTGAAGCACCTGTCTGCCTGCTTCCAACACATCACATGTCACTGCAACTGCTATAGGCGCATAGAGCTGGATTCTTTCCCCCTTGACACTCCCTGCTGAGGAATGCAGTCAATGCATCAGCCTCGCAAGATAATTCAGGAGATATAAGATCTCTGTTTGTTCCTGGAGGTACCTATTCTTCTACTATCTTAATGACAGCACCTTATGTACAGTGGAAGAACCATTTCATTTCTATGACCATCACCCGAAAACACAAAGGAAAGCAGCACTCTGCCCTGCATTCCCTGGAGAAGCAGCGTCTTTGCGGTGAGTCTTGTCATGTATGAGACTCGGACTCCCTGGGATACAGCCCTTCCAGGAAGGGATGCAAGGTCACCAGGGAGATGTGCAGAGCCTGGCATGCATGGCATTCTCACCTGATCACGTTCCTGTAGGCTCTTCTGCTGTCCTTGTCCAAATGCACCGTGAAGGGTCTCTGCTCTGTGCTCCTGATTTTGATATTGCTTGTTTTCAACATATTTGCCACAGCCTGGATGGAGAAAGGAGGAAGAGCCTGGTGAGTGTGTCCCTCTTCTCCCTGGGCTAGGTAATGTGTGCATGATGGGTGTGAAAGGGGCAGAGGATGACGTCTCTGGTTTTGTTTTTTAACCTCGGATGTGACACAAGGCAAATCCTTTTTCTGTAATCACAACCTGGTCAAGTTTTACAAGGGTAAACTTTCCAAACTGGCAATGCTTGCACAGGCCACAAGTTTGGGATGTCTGGTGTGGGGCATGGTCTGTTCTCCATGGCTGTGGGGTATCTTTGTGGGCAGTGTAGGCTGCAGTACCTTGGTGTTCCCAAGTCAGGTGAAAATAAGCAAAAGTATGCTGGCTACCTGAAAACACCAGCTGAGAGACTGGAAGCTCCAGGGCCTAAATCACCAAGGCACAGTAACACTGAATGCCACCCAAACTGCAGGGACACATTCCCATGGAGCAGTGTCTCCCCTGGGACCTACTTGAACTCTTAAGATGTGGGGTCTGGGGAGCACACTGCAGCTGAAGGTCTGGAGCTAAGAGTTGATAACAAAACTACAAACTCTCTTGCACCCACATGGAGCCACAAGGACTGGGACTAAGCTTTATTTCTCTCCTTTGTCCTTGTGGTCACAGAATAACCCCAGCAGCAGCTCAGTCATTCAGGGGCTCCAGAGACAGGAGTCAATGTGACATTGACCAGTGGGGATGGCATTTAGGGCTTTGGTTCAAAAATGTGGACTTTTACATGGAAAGTAATTGCAAAATGCTGTGTGAGCAGAGTGACCCCAAAGCCTTCTTCTCCCCACAGAGTATTTTCCATTTTGCTGTTGTTGTGATGAACCCTCTGTGAGGATCCACAGGTACTTACTGAGAATGATCGTCCTGACAGGTTGTTGATCCTAATGATTTCAGTGATGGTCACACTCAGACACACCAGGTCTGCAACAGAATCAGCATGTTAGTCTTAGGCCATGGCATGATCTCAGCTCAGCTTTCAGTGGGGCTGGTGCCATATCCCACATGTGGGTGCACTGCCTATGGGATACATAGGACAGCAGAAAAGGAGGCCTCTGGCAAGCTCCAAAGCTCCATGGGCTATGGATGTGTGTAGGATCGTGCTCAGGGTGGAAATCTCAGAGGCTGTGCTAAGGGCAAGGTGAAAGAAGAAGGCTGCAGCAAAAGGAAGATACTGCCTCAGGCACGTCATTCATGAGAAAACACACAACCAGACTGTGGTGACACCAGTACATGCCCATCACTGATTCAACCCCCACAGTTCAGGCACACCTGGCACTAAGTTCCATGGTAAGATTTACCCAACTGAGCTTCAGAAAACTCAGCAAACCCTCCTCACATGGTTCCAAGCAGGAAGAACCCACCTTCAGCCTCATCAGCAGGGATGGCTTTCATTACCAGACCCGTGGAGCGCAGGGACATGGCTACTTCCTTCTCCCGGTTGCTCACAACAACCTGCAGGCAAGGCTCTGTTAGTTTCCCCTGGCAGAGAGTCTGGACATGGAGAGGTCTGGGGGCAGGTTTTCACAAATGCAAGGTTAGCCAACAGGCTTTAAAAGTTCACCATAACCTTTCTGTCTTCTCCTGGAGTGCAATTCCAGAGGAAAGAAGAAGGGCTAGAGTCCTCCTTTTAGGAGACCTGTGCCATGGTGGGGATCCCTGTGAACAGAGACATTTTGGGCTGATGAGAGCCCCACTTACCTTTCTGTATGTTACTGTGAGATCTACACCAGGGCCATCCAGGGTTGTTTTCTTCTTGGTCATGCTCAACTCTGCAAGGAAGGAAGCAAGTAGGATTGAGGTTTCACTCAGCCAACCTATCTGTGGTCAGCAGAGAGGGATCCTCCTTTGGAATCAGCCACCTCCTCCATGACACAGTGGTCTAGCACATTGACACTTCTCTCCTTGCCTATGGGAGCTGAGTTTCTATGCACTCAGAAGGTCCTGTGAGATGGACTCACTCAAGGGTCTGAGCCCAATCTCGATAGCAAACATCCATTGGATCAGACACCAGAGTGCACTGATGGAAGGGCTGGATGTGACTTCTGTAACAGTCCAGCCTTCAAGCACTCTTGTTCCATCACTGGCAACTCAAGGAATCTGGATTTCTAATAGGGAAAACATCTGGCTTGTGAAAGCCCAACTTGTTTCCTCAATAAAATTAGGGTGCTGGTCCAACTTTGGAGGGTTCTGGAGCCAACCAAAGACACAGTCTATAAAACCTGGTTGAGACCAGGAGCCAGTGAGCACAAGGTCTCTCATTTAGTGTGGTTTCATGAGTCTGAAAAGGAGAGGGAGGTGTTTGGGGAAATATCCTGCATGTCAAGGAACAAGGGGTATTGTCCCCTGGCAGCCTTGACTGCTGTAGGCTGAGGGCAAGAGTGAACGGGGTCTGGGGTCAGCAGGACCCCAACTAGGATGGCAGCCCCTGCTGCAGGGCTCAGCTTGGTGGGACACACACACCTCTGTGGGAGATGCTGTCCTGCCCCTGGGTGCGCAGCTCCGTGAGGAACACGTCCTCGGCCGGCTCCTGAGCTGGGTCATTGAAGAAAATCTGAAAGAGAGGAAATCTCAGCTCCTCCTTAGTCACCTCGTGGTGTCACACGGGGCTTGTGACGTGAAAAACTTCTCCAGAGCACCCAGGTGCGACATCAAAGGGGATGCATGACCTCACCATGGCAACCAAGGTAACTATGAGATGGGGAGAACTGCTTTGGCTCTTTTCTGAAGCCCAGGAGCGTGGCAGGCCTCGGCCCGAGCAAGCCGGGTCAGCAGAGCCACGGGCAGTGTCCCCTGCCACTGGATGTCACTGTGCACTCACAGATGAGTCAGCTCCCAGCTGACTCACAGGGAGCAGCAACTTCCCAAGCCTGACTGAGATCCTGGTTGAGCTTCAAGGCACGTAATTTGTACCTGATACATCTAAATCAGCAGGTCCCTACAGCCCTATGAATTGTTTTCTTTCCATAGTCTTCTATTGAGCAAAACGTGAAGAGAAGGTCCTGGAGAACCTCTCCTAGCCACTCCTATGTCCAGCCCCTGTGGGACTTGACTCCCACTTCTAGCAAACCTGCAGCCAAAGAGGAACATCATGGTCTTAACCAAAAAGGCAAAATAGGGTCAGTGTTTCCAGATGAAGCAGCATCACACACTGTATGATGAGAGATAGGTTAGGTGCCTCTATCTGAAAACCACATCTGAAGTCAGTTCCTCTTCCCCTGCTTGAGTCACCCACTCTCTCACTTGCTGTTGGGTTTTGTCTTGGAGGAGAAATGAGTGGAACGAAAATTCACAAATCAAAATCCCCAGTCACACAAGCTGAGGACCTGGTGCACCAGATGTTTACAGGCTAGATGTTAGTAGTTCATGCCCTGATGGTGCTCTACCAGGAATTGCCAAAGCTCTTTCAGCTCTTTGCAAGTCATGTGCCAGTTTGCCCAGGCAATGGCTGCTCCCGTGCTGTAATAGCTTACCACAGGGGCTACAGGTAGATCAAAAGGACGTGTGCACCAGTGCCAGCCTAAGCTTTGAAGGGGAGAAACTGCCAGAGAAGCAGAGGGGAGGTGATGTTACATGCCTGAACGCAGTTCTTTGTTCTCATATCGAATGCCAGGCCTCACTCTGATACCATTTCAGAGTAAAGATGGCAGGAAATAAATAAAATGATGTTTCAGGAAACCCTGCAAAGCCCCTGTAAGGTATAGGAAGGCTTTGGCAAAGCCACTCAGAAAAGTCCTGTTTGCTCACAGCATCTCAAGCAGCAAGAGGTACCAGAGCTCCTGAGCAACCCTGAATCCAGCAGAGCAGGAAATCTGTGTCCCTACGGGGTAATTTCAAGGTTTACTTTGCTGTCCCATTTTATCCTGAAATAACCTTCCCAGAATCATTGACTGCAGCTGAGCTGTGCTACATAGAGTTACTAGAACTGGGTGTCTGGCAAGGAGAGGACAGGCTGAGGTGCACGAGGGTGCAGGCTCATATCTGCCGAAAGCCCCGAGACCCTGCTGACTCTGCACAGCTCTGCAAGGCCTTGCAGGGTCATGTGAAGGCACCAGGGATGTGACACCCACCTTGACAGCATAGACCTGGAAGCAGACAGGCTGGATACCCATGCGGACATAGTAAGCAATCACATCTGTGATGAACAGATCAGTCACAAGGTGTTTGCTTGGCGAGGAAGGCTGGGGGGACAAATCACATTACGGATCAGCTACAGTCACTTCTCAAAAACCCTGCCACAAACCCTCACACCTTCCTAGGCAGATAATGAATGATGAGCTGTTGCCCAGGGCAGCACTGAGCTGTTTTGCCCTCAGTAGTGAAAGTGAATGAGAGAAGCAAAGGCTGCACCCACCTATCAGCCTTTTTGGTGGGCTGCAAGTGGTGGCTCAGACTGCCAGGAAATGAGAGCTGGGGATATTTCAGCAAATGCCTAATTTATATTTTCTGTCTTGAAATACGCCATTTCCTGTCATTTAGCCAAAAAACCCCATCACAGCAAATGGGTCTTGTGGCTGGCATAGTGTCAGCCACATGTGCCTTCCAGCTGGGCCCTGGGACAGGTCTGCAGGAGAAAACCTCTGTCTGGGACATGGAGGAGCCCTGTGGGGCACAAGCTCATCCTCAGGCATGGCAGATGTGTTTGGGAAATGGGCCAGGCTGTGGAGGTGGGAATATTTTCCTCATACCATGGTGGCCAGCTTGGGAATCATGTGGCACAGAGTGTTGATGTTGCTCTCGTACCACGGGTCGGCTCTGCCAAGGTACCCAGCCACCTCACACAGCTCCTCGTGGCCGGTGGCAGCACGGTCCTGTGGAAGAAACACACAGCTGAGAGTAGGATCATGGCTCAAAATACCAGGAGCCACAGAGAAGGCAGAGGGAGCTGGGGCACGAATGCCCTTTGAGGAGCTCCCCCATGCCTCCCCCTTCCCTGCTTCATCCAGAGAAGATGGCAAACTCACTTCGTGGGTGCTCAAGAACAAAAGTTAAGTGAAGAACAAAACCAAGAAATACTCATTTTTATAGTGAAATGTTTGTCGGGACTCACAGCCAGGTCTGGGCCAGCTTAACATATTCTGAGAAGTGAAACTGTTTATTTATCGCTGTCTCGAGGCTGCCTGAGAGGAAGAGACATGCCCAAGATAAACTGCAAGGTAGTGACTTACAGAACTAAAATTGGGGCCATGACCAAGGAGGCAAAGCCCTCACTGAGTGACAATGCTTCCCTAAGCATTTGGGAGGCCAGAAAACCATCAGTCCTTTGCTAAAACTCATTGATCCTATTATAGCTGGGGCATAGAAGCAGAACTGCATGAGTTATCACCCATCAGGGAGGTTGGAGCAACCTGAATGTCTGTGGGGCTGATGGTTCTCCAAAGCCAGCCTGCAAACTGAGCCCAGCTGCTCTGACTTGGCTCCCAATCTCCTTGTTCCAGGAACAGGGCATTAACGGATGTGAATTCCTGTAACCCCTTTGCTCTTCCCCCAAAACCACCAGCAGCAGTTGCTGGCAGGCAGCAGCAGTGCCTGGAGCTGCCAAGCCCAGACTCACCACAACAGTGAAGGTGTTTGGCTGCCCTGTCACCACTGGGATGTAGTAGAACTGCAGGTTCAGCCTGGGAGTCAGGAAAACTCGCCGTGTTTCTCGCTTCCTTGAAATGGACAAATAAATAGCCATGTCCCAAGAGGAAGGGGGAGGAACATGTATCTTGGTCGAGGCTGGGCAGTGCCAGGAGGTTGCAGCTGCTCTGCAACAGGAGCACATACCCTGCTCGTGTGTCTCCTTTGCCCAGGGTGACAGGATGACATCAATGCCCCTGAGTCCCCAGACTGAGCAAGGGGAGATGATGGGGAGCTGCAGACAGGATTTTGTTGCGGTCCCCTCTGCTCCCAGCTCTGCTCCCCAGGCTGCTGACTGAACTGCAACCCAGAGACACCCCACGCTGCTCTCCTGGCCCAGGTGAACCAGCTGGGAAGAGCCAGCTGGAAAACAGCTTTTCTTTAGAATTTTCCCCTTTTGCATGGGAAAACATCTTGCCTCAATTATTGTTCATTTTACCCACTTCATGGATAGAGGGAAGAACTCTGTGTGCATCATTTGGGCCAATAGAGCCAAACAATGCCACGCAGCCAGTGAAGTCGGATGCATTTAGGTGCTCAACACCTGGGTCCTATCCTGTCCCAGGTAACACTGGAGCCCAACCCCACCCCAGCCATCCTGGCTGCTTCAGCAGGCTGAAGAGCAAAGCCTCCCACTCTGTCCTGCCTTCTCCCAGGCCCCCAGAGCCAAGGAGGCTGTGGCCACTAGTTACCTCAAAGAGTGGTAGGCTTGTGCCAGGCGGCCCAGGATCCGGTCATCCCCCAGCAGCACGATGCGCGCAGTGTGCAGCCTCTGAAGTGAGGCTGCAGGACCTGGGTGGGTGCCTGAACTCCTCTGCAGCTTTGCTGGGGACTTTGCCCCGGGACTGTTGCAGCCAGCCTGCAGGAAGGCCACGCTCTCCAGTGGCGATGGCTTTTTCTTAATGCCACCCTTCCTGTGGAGCCGGGACTGCCCTGTGTCAGCACTGCAAGGGGTGAAGGTCTCCTCAGCTGCCACAGGCAGGTCCCGTTCGATGCCACTGTCAGTGGAGAGGACGGAGAAGCGAGTCTGCTCACAGCATTCACAGTCCGAAATAATGTCTTGGATCTCAAAATTCTCCAGGTCCTGGCTGAGGCAGTCAGGCTCGCAGCTCTGTGACAGTGGGCGGATGAATAGCACCAATTCCTTCCCTGCGGAGAGAAAGGAGTTGAAGAGGGAAATCCAACCAAAGCCAGGCTGAGCCCTCGGCTTCCCACCTCTCCGGCAAACTGCAAGCAAATACCTCCACCAGCAGGTCCAAGGAGAGTCAGTCTTTCAGTACTGTTTCACATTACCCCACTCAAATCATAGAATCATAGGATGGTTTGGGTTGGAAGGAGCCTTAATTATCACCTCATTTCAGCTCCCTTGCCATGGGCAGGGACATCTCCCACTAGACCAGGTTGCTCCAAGCCCCACCCTGGCCTTGAACACTACCAGGGATGGGCCAGCCATAACAAACAGGTACTCTGGGCACATCATGTTGCAGTCTGTTCCTCTCCTAATCTACTTCACCAGTTTACACCCATAATCCCCTGATCTGACCCCATCAGCTCAAGAGAAGGAAGGCTGGTGCAGTCAGCATGAGTCTGTATGAACTCGGCCCTTGGGCAAAGGTTACAAAACTCTGCTTAGAAGTCAGGACTAAATGACACGTTTTGCACAGGATCCCCAGCCCCAGGCAACACCCGAGCTCCTCACAGCTTCCTTCCCTGGGGCACTCACAGAGTTGGTCATCTTCTGTCCAGAGGTGAAAGCTGATGTTGGGGTTGGGCAGAGGGGTCCCCTGGATCCCTCCCAGGGGAACATTGCCTGGGGAAAACAAGAATGCTTGTAACACACAGGAGTATTTTTCCTGCACAGGTGCATGAACCTCCCAGTGCTGAGCACCCATGCTGAGCCCCTGGTCTTCTTCCACCCTGGTTTCTTCTGGCCAGATGTGAGGCTGTAATCACAGGCCTCTGCTCTCACAAACTCAGCCAGAAGAAGGTGCCTATACTGTTGGTGGAAGGGAGACATGAAGACAGGGTAGCTGAGGCATGGGCATGTGAAGGATCTTGCTTTTGCAGATAGCAGAGAGGCTGGAGAATAAACCATTCTTCTAGCACTGGGTCTCCAATGCACATGGCAATCTCAGCTGAGATGTAAGGAAGCCCTCTGATCCCACCACCACCAGCTCTTTTTAACCCATTGGACAGCTGTAGGAGGGCATGGCAGAGCTTCCTTATCCCGCTGGGTATGGCTGGCTGGAGCTCACCTGCTTGCAAGGAGCTGAGGAGAGTGTGGTAGATCTCCTCCAGCCTGGCTGCATGTTGGCTGCGGTCTGCACTCCCCTTGCTTCCTGCACACTCCACTGCCACCACCACTTGCCGGAACCAGTGCTCCACATCGCTCATGGCCATATGCTGTCATGAGGAGCAGCTGTTAACATCCAGAGGTGTGAAAAGAGGGGATGTTTCACAGCCACAGGAGGGGGCAGAAAGAGGGTAAATGAGTTCTGCAAAAAATGTTTTGCAGTAGAGGGCACAAATGTCTTCTCCCCAGGGAAGGCTGGAGAAGAGGTGTTGGCTGTGCTGTCTGCTTAAAATTATTTTCTGACAGGATTGCAGTGGATGAGCACTGCGACCATGAGCTCAGGGAGTCAGCAGCAGTGCTGGTACTTCAAGTGACTCTCAGGAGATGGGGACAGCAGACACACAAAGGTGTTCTTGGAGTGGAAATCACTGAACGCCCCTGCAAAGTTGCCTTTCTGAACCAGACGTTTGTCTTACAGTGGCCCCACAGCTTCTTCATGGATGTTTTGGAGATAACTAATTGAAATATTTCAGCTGAGATGTCTTTGTAATGCCCAGGGGCTTGCAGAGGAGCTGTGTTTCAGTGGCAGAGCCCAGCTTTGCTGTGCAAAACTGAAGACTCAAAGGAAAGATTCAAAACCTCTGGATCCTGCTGTAGCAACTGCTTTATATTTGAAGAATATTTTAGTTTAACGCCAGCTCTGCTCATAGGCCAGCCTTGCATGTAACACTGGGGCTACTGAGGAGTGAGGAGCAGGGGGAGTCTCTCCACTTGCCACAAACCCTTTTTTTTCTCCAAGGTGTCCAACAAGAGCAGGACCATTGGAAAACCAGTGGTGGTGCTGCAGAACGGCTGTCATTACCTGGAGATTGGCCTTCAGGCCCTCGATGTTGCAGCTCTCACCCAGGGTCGACTGCATGGTGTGGATGATCACATAGCACATGCATGCCCGAGGACTCTGGGACACCTGAGCTGCCTCGGTGTCGGTGACCAATGCATTGCAGATGGCTTCAGAGAGCAGCTCTGGATCAGCAAAGATGAAAATCCTGTGCAGGGCAGGAGGATGGGAAAAGAGGAAAAGGAGGGAGGAAAGGAGGGAGGGAAGGGGAGGGGAGGGGAGGGGAGGGGACTCCCTGTTACTGATGTCAAGGCTGGCACGAGCAGCTCATGTCTCCATTATTCCATGCAGAGAAAAAGTGTTGCTGCTTATATTCCCCTTCTCCACACCAAGGGAAGCTCCCTGCCTCCCAGGACCACAGAAATCAATTGGGACACATGGGAGGAACATGCTCCTCCCAGTGTCAGTCGTGTTTAGTGAGGCACTGCATGCCACCAAACTGTGTCCCCCACAACCACGTACTGTCATGTGGTTTAGGCCTAAGTTAGCTGTCCCACCCAAGATTAATACAGTGCAGGAAAAAGACAGATTTCACTAAGAATAATAAAATGAGAAGACACTACTCACTTTTCCTGGTAAGGGTACGGGTCGCTTTTGAGGCTCTGTTCGGAAATGACCATTCTTTGATACAACATACCTGGGAAGTGCAAGAAGATAAGCACATGGGAGTCAGAGCATGAGAAATAATACAACTCCTTGGAGCAGCTCAGTGCTCCTCCCAGTTGTAGAGGCTGATGGTGAGTCTGCCAAGTCGGTGAACACCCATAGCTGGGGAGATGATGTAAACCAGCCAAGAATCAGGCTCAGAGTTAAAAATAGTCAAGGACGAAGATAGGCCATGCTACACAAAAAGAAAAGCCCTTCTATTCAGGGACAGTTTCCCGGTGTTTCCCTTCCTTTGTTTAGTGGATTATGAGCTTGGGACCAGAGTGGGAAGGAGGAAGAAGAGCCTTACTCCTGCTCTCTGACCCCAAGGCCACGTCAGGGGCAGCACTTGGGTGGATATGGAGAGCACAATGCATACACAATCAGGAGAGATGTACTTTATCCTCACACAGCTCGGGAATGAGGAAGATACATCCACCTGACATTGGTCAGGGGCAATCTTCTTGTGACCCTTGTGGTGCCCTGAGGGAAGCCCCGCTGGAGATCCCCATCTCTCCACACTGAATCATTGCCTTACCAGAAGTCAGGTGAGATAAAGGTGAACCTTGGAGCTTCAGACAAATCAGTACTGGGGAAGAATGGGTGGGGTGATGGGGATGGGCTGAGAATACCCAAACCATCACTTTCTCTCTAATTTCCCACCAGGTTCCTCATTTTTTACCTCCCCCTCACGGTGTCTGCATCTTGCACTGCTTTAAAGGATTGATTTTAAAGACTCTTATTAAAGAAAACGTTAACAAGAAGAATGTTAGAGAGAAATGTAGAGAAAATGTAAACAGAGTTGTCCTTTGGCTTCCTTTCTCAAAGGGCCTGTTCTCTGCAGACACTACTGACATTTTAGTGTCTACAACCTGACACACAGGTACTGAAGGGAGGAAGAGCCCATGCTGGGCAGCTGCAACTCAATCTCAGATGGAAAATTCACTTTGCGAAAAGGAGACCTCTGCAAAACGTACTGAGATGCCCAGGCTGGGAGCAGAAGCAACCTGTTCCCCATATAGACAGAGGGTGTATATATGTACCTGGCCTTAGGTGAGCTGGTCTTGACTCTGGTGTGTCTACACTGATATCAGGGCAACTCCAAGGTTTTCTGCTAGTATTTGAGGCTCAGCAGCTTTAGATCAGGAGAGGGGAACCCTCCCACCCAAATGCATCCCCAAGAACCCCCAAAGCATTTGGCCAGCCCCCACAGAAATTCCTGCCATGGCTTGCTGCATTAGGCAAAGGCCAGCTCAGGTATGGAAATCCCCCAGGCCCTCATGAGTTGCTCTGGACTGGGATAGTTGATTTCCTTCATGATACCCCAATCCCTCTGCCTTGAGGGCTTAGCCATGCATGGTGCCAGGCAGGGGCAGAGCAGGGAGCCCTCATACCTGGTGCTGTCCTTTCCATCTTCAGCCTGGTGGCATAGTCCAGGCCGATGGTGCAGAAGGGCTTGGGCAGGGTGAGCAGCTTCTTGCAGAAGTCATACACTCTGCCACAGAGCTCGTCGGAGATGCAGGGGGCCTGGAGAGAGTAAAGAAGATGCCACAAGTAGTGATCCCTAACACTGCTCTCCTCACAGACTCCAGGGCAGGAGGGCACTGAGCTACACTAAATCCAACATGAATTTAAATGCAATATATGAAGCATAATCAGACCCTACAATGGTTTGGAAACCTCCAGCAATAACCACTGACGGCTGTGGACATGCTTTTTTTTTTTTACGGTTGTGGCTTCAGTCACTACCAGGCACATAAATACCTCCAGAAAAGTGGGTCAGCTGGAAGGACCTGTCACTCCTGTACATGTCACAGGTAACAGTATCTCAGCCACCAAACATCACACTGGGAAATGCACAATTTAGTCCACCTGTGGTAGTCCCAGAGCTTTGCTGGGCAGGTACTGGGATATTTCAGCACAGGAACAGGTTCTGAGTGACTTCAGGTGGTCTCTCTTGTGACTTCTGATTTCCCTGGATCTTGCCATAGTAAAACCTGTGGTAAGTTACCTTTATCAGGGTGTACATCAGTGTGTGCAGCAAGGGGATGATGTAATGCCTGAAGTCACCTCGCTCTGCCTGTGGAAGCAAAAGGCCCAGTCAGCACTCAGTAGGATGCTGGGCTGGGCAGCAGCACCTGGGAGCCCTCATAGCCCCCAAGTTTTGTTTGGTTCTGTCTCTCAGCAGCTCAGACACACAAGGTGAGCACAGGCATCACCCTGGCTTAGGAGGAATGCTCCCTGGGTCACAATGGGGTTTGGGACTCCTCCACAGGCTTAGAGTGGGCAGGATGTCCCTAGGGAGGGGTGGAGGTGGGGGGTGGACCACAGTCATGGTGGGAGAGGGAGAGCAAAGGTTTCTGACTGAGGTCATTAAGAAGCCTCTTTCAAGCTGCAAAAACTCATGTGGAATGACAAAACTTCTGGGAAAACCCGTCTTAGATATGATGGGTGTGGGACCAGAGTGAACAGGGAGGAGGTATGCTCTTGTGTTCCCATCCTGCTCATGGGAAGCCAGATGGATGCTCAAGCTGACAGAGCTCCAGCCCCTTCTGGCAGCCTGGTCCGTCTATAACAGCACCTTCAGCAACAGGAATGTCCATGGATAAACCTGGGAAAGGTATTTCCACCCCAAAGATATTTCTAGCACCTTTCTTCAGAGCTGCTGTGCTGATGGACCTGAGTTAAATAGAACTGATGGTAGCAAACCTGTAGAAACTGTCAATAAAATGTATAATACTGAATTGCTGAGACCAGTTGATATTTGCCCTGGAGGAATTCAAGCATGAAATTGCTAAATTATCCCCTATGGCTGGTACTGACATCTCAGAGCTGCTGCAGGACCAGAAGAATGAAAAAACCCCAGCAAGTCAACCAAAAAGCCAAGTGACAGACTTCGAGGAAAAGCTTCTGGGAGATGAAGGGAATTACAGACCTGGAGGCCTGACTCCCCTCCTGGGCAAGGAAAGATAAGAGTAGCAGAGTGATAATAGGTATGACTGACATGGCTATAGAGAGGAAAGCAGCCCTCAAGTCCTTGGGGAAGAACCACAGCAAAGGGTGATGTGTGTGTCCCTGTCTGTCTGGATTTGTGAAAGCCACTGGACGAAACCCCTTCCCAAGGCACTGAGGGAAGCTGAACTGCCATAGCATAAGACAGTCAGGCTGCAAATAGCCTCAGAGCTGTTTAAAAGGCAGGAAACATGAATTGGGAACAACTGCAGGATGCTCACAGCACTGAGATGTGATCTGCCCTGGGCTAGCATGACCCGTGTGTGTGACGTGTTGAGGGAGGGAGCTGACAGCCTCTGCTGGGGTGCTTGGCTCCATCCTCCCAGCTTGGAAGGAGAAATAGCAAAGATGCAGAGAAGATGGTACAGGGAGGTTTCTGCACAGAGGATGAGGAGCAGGGGCTCATCCATCAGTGGGGTGAGGAGGAGGAGGGGAGTGAGGGCTGATCCTCCCTGCACCAGGATGAGGGCACTGGGTAAGATGAGGCAGGCTTATATGAAAGAAAAGGTGCTTCTTCTACACATGACACCTCACCAAACCATAAACCAGGTCACACCAGGATGCTGAGGATTCTAAGGGTTTCTGCAAGACCAGAAAATGACAAGACAAATCAGTGAAACAAAAAATCCTTCACAAGGTTTCCATCAGCTGCTCCCAGGACTGGGTTAGGTGGTTCTCGCTTTGGGGTGGAAATGAGTAACCTGGAGGAAAAATTTCCGCTCTACCTGTGACTACAGCTGATGGGGTGGGATGAGGGAGACTTGGGGATGGTTGGAAGAGTTATGCACTGTGCTATTTGCAAACTGTGAGGATTGGCTGCCTTTGGCTGCTGCAGCATCAAGGAGTCTGGGGAGGTTCTCAGCTCTACCCATTGCTCACTATCACTTTGGGACAAACCCTGACCCCTGCAGTCATCAGCTGTGTTCAAGCTACAGCTCTGTGCTGGTGTCCCTGAGGGTTTTTCACTCCGTGCTATGAACCACAGTCCCCAGCCAGGCCCAAGGCCCTTAAAAAAAAATCCTGTCTGAGGTGGAGTTGAGTCCCCATCACTCTGCTCCCCACAGCAGGGCACATGCCATGGAAGGGCCAAGCCTGTCACCCCTCTGGGGTGACACTCACCCTTTCCAGCTCCTTCACCAGGATCCTGACCAGGACAGAGCTGTTACTGGGATTCTGGTCAATTTTTTTATGCAGGGTCCATCGCAGCATTCCTGAGAAATGAAAGCCAGAAAAGGTCAGGTTGCCAAGCAAAGCAGTGAGGGATTGGGGCAGCATTTCACAGAGGAATCAGGAGACCTGGGCACTGTTGCTGCAAAAAATCACCCACTGGGATGCTGCACTGACATCATTATCACAGCTAAATCAGGTTTCTCTGCCCTCTGCTTCAATCATTGACCCTCTGCAAGGGACAAATCACGCTAGTGCTCTCATTCTGGATGCAGCATTCATGTATCATATATCTAATACTGGGAAACCTTTGGAAAAAGGTCCTAGATATCCTAGGACCGAGGGGCTGGAGAACAAGGCAGAGAAATGGACATGAAGTTTGTTTCCTGTTCCCTCTATTGCTGTCTGTATAACTCCCTGCTCTTACTGCCTGCCCCAAGGACTTTGGGTTCCTGCTGGTCCCCTGAATGCTGCCTGCCAATAGTTCACACTCAAAGCAACAATCACAAAGCATCTCATTCCTGCAGCTGTCAAGTCTCATTGTAGACAAAATCAAGTTTCATTAACTGTAAAATATTCTGTGCACTCCAAGCAAAATAAATTTTTCAAAATTAATTAGTTTTTCTAAGCCTGAAACACTCCAGTGGCTCAGGTAGAGCTTTGTTCTCCACATCCATAAAACAAAGATTTCAACTGATTCCTCAGTGAGGAGCTGAGCAGTGCGTGGAAAAGTGATATCCCCGTGGGGAGAGATGGGGAGACTCCAGCTCAGAGGTGTTAAATGGGCTGAACAGAGCTGAGAGTGCTCCATTTATGTCCCAGCTTAACGCTGGACCTCCTGGGAGAGTGAAGGGTGGAAAGGATGAAGCTGATGCATGGTACTCACTGAGAGCTTGCCAAGATTTGGTACCTCTGAGAGAGGGTTAGAAAAGGCAGAGCAGACTCAGGGAGGAGAAGGCACTATGTCCCCCCACCCTGGCACTGAGAGAGGGAGTAGGAGGGGTGTTGAGGGTGAGCAATGCCCCAGCAAGGCAGGTGCTGACCCCCAGGAGCTGTGCCAGGGTCTGTCTCACCTTGGTCACACTGGCAGGCAGGGTAGTGCCCATCCAGCGCTCGCAGCAGCGTGCGGACACAGCGCAGGATATCTGACTCCACTTCTGCGGGGACAAAGAGAATGTGAGCAGCCAGGCCAGCAGCCTTGGGAGACTGGCACACAGGTACAACCCCAGGGGAGCAGGCACTGGTTTGGGTGAGCACGGGGACTGCACCCTCCCTGCATCCCTCAGGATGGCTCAGAAGGTTTCAAGCCTGGATAAGCCTCAATGCAAACAAAGCAGAGCTCTCCCTGGGGCCATTGGAGCTGGGGGCAAATGCCACCCCATGGACTGGTGGTCCCTGCAGTCATACTGGAGGGCAAAGTGCTCCCGCATGGGAAGCTCTGCACAGGACTGCTCATGCACGAGCTCTGCAGAGCCCTCCTCTCCCGATGTGCAATGAAAAATTCACACATTAAATATGGAAACTAACCAAATTAAAGCACAACTAGGCACCAGAAAAGAGCAGAGACACCTCTGTGGTTTGGCACTGCATGGATTCAGCTTCAACTCATTGCAAGGAGCTCTCTTGCAACAAGGTCTGCTACCCACACCAGCAGCCCACCCTGCATGGGAAACCCAGACAGAGCCTCCAGGCTGGCATGTAACCTTCAGCCTTCACGGCCTCTCCCTGATGTGCAACCACCCACTCCTGGGCCCTGAGCACCTTCTACTCCTCCAGGCAGGGAGCCTAGGTCAGTGTTTCTGCCTGGTAACCACCACATGTAACTTGTATGCATCAAAACCAAACTGCATCCTACTCTCAGCCAAAAATAGGTTTTACATCCTCAGCCTCAGTTTGGGGTATGAATTGTATGTGGGGCAAGGGCCTGTGAACCCAAGCTCACTCAGGTGACAGCTAGCTGGCCATGAGTGCCCACACAGCATGGATGTAAAATTAAAATCACCCCTGAAAGTATATGGGTATCGACCAGGAAGGCTGCAAGGAAGGTCCCTGTACCTCACCATGTCCTGACTTACACCAGGCTGTTCTTTCCC